TCTGGGTACGTCAGCAGTGGGACGGCTGTCAACTGTTCTTTTAACGTATCAAATGCCCGTTGACAATCCTCTGTCCACTTGAACCTAGCGTATTTCTTCGTCAGGGCTACTAGTGGTATGGCAATTCTCGAAAATGCCGGGACGAAGCGTCTGTAGTAACCTATAGCTCCTATAAAACCTCTTACCTGTCTCACTGTCTTAGGTTCTGGCATTTCCCTTATGACTTTCACCTTATCCATGTCGGGTTTAATACCGTCTCCGTTTATAACAAAGCCCAAATATCTAGTCTCCTCCTTCAGAAACTGACACTTCGACAATTTCAATTTTAAGCCGTGTTTTCTTAACCTTCCCAACACTTGTTTTTGATGGAAAAAGTGTTGTTCTACTGTCTCCGAAAATATCAAAATATCATCCAAATATGCCATGGCAAAGCTCTCGTATCCTCCTAACACTATTGACATCAGCTGTTGAAAGATTCCCGGGGCATTGGCTAAACCGAAGGGCATCACCCTGAACTGAAACAGTCGTAGGTGACACGCAAATGCAGCCTTCTCCTTGTCAGCCTCATCAAGGGCTACCTGCCAATACCTCAAGTCCAACGTAGAGCAGTACTTTGCCTTCCCTAATAATGCTAATATGTCATCTATTAGTGGCAATGGCACCGCCAACGGCTTCGATATAGAATTCAGTTTCCTAAAATCTACACAAAAACGGTGCCCGCCATCTTTCTTACCTACTATTACGATTGGGAAGCTCCAAGAGGAGATCGATCTTTCGATCATCCCAGCTTCCAACATCTCTTCTACTGCCTCTTCTACAAGGGGTCTTTTATGAATAGGTGTCCGGTAGGTTTTTAATTTCACAGGGGGGTGATCTCCGGTGTCGATTTTAATTTGACTGTGTGGGTCTGGCCCAATTACTTGTCTGACTGGGCTACCACATCTCGATTATCCCTCAGCAGACCTCCCACTCTGGTTCTAAATTGATCCGGTGCTAATATATCTTCGTCCACTATTCCTTCTGTTTGTTCTACAAGTTTTCTTCGTTCCTCTTCGAATCTCACCCGATTCAGAGTCCGTAGGGGTAGCGCTTTTCCTATCTCTTCCCCTCTCCTAACCTTTTTTATAGTCTTTTTGGGCCTGGTTCACCATCATAATGGGCACTAATTCAGCTGCCTCCACCACCGTCTCACACAGAGTTACCTCATTCTCTTCTAGGCCCTTCCCTTCTACAGGGACCAACTGCAGGGGTCCTTTTCCTATTTTCTTCCCTGACATTAACCTACCCTTTCCCGACACCGCCGTTCTAGGGGGTAGCTTTACATCTTCCTCCTCCACTATTGTTATATCTTCTTCTGGTGGGCATCCCAATGGCGTTCTCTCGCCATTCACTATCAACACAGTGGGGTTGAACTCTATCTGGGCCCTCTGGCTCCGGAGCCAATCTTCTCCCAAGATTGCCTCCGTACACAGGCTGGGGGTTACGTAAAAAATTTGGATGCTTCTTAATTTCCCAATCCTCACAGGGAGCCTCACCATCCCTTTTATCTCCATGGGGGCTCCATCTGCTTGCGTGACCTCTATGCCCGCTTCCCGTAACCTACTCTTCCGTTTCACCCGCCTGTATGCTTCCTCTCTCAGCAATGACACAGATGCTCCTGTGTCTACCAGGGCTTTCATCGCCTTACCCCCTATCTCTGATCTACAGGATAGCTCCTTCTCTTGCGTCAGCGAAGAGAACACTTGGGCTTTCCTTTTCCTGGGTCCCCACCCTTGGGTCATCCCAGCCATAGGCGCCGGCAGCAATAAATCACCTTCATTATTCTTACGGGGGGGGAGTTCTGCGCTTTCCGCACCTGGGCGGCCCCGGTTGGACCTCTCCCAGTCTCCTGCGGCTGTTCCTAAGGGTACAGCTTCTTCTCAGGTGCCCTGGTCTCCTACAAAACCAGCACCTTCTTGCCTTCTTGGCCAGGTGTCCCTTCTTTCCACACCTGTTCGAAGTCTGGGGGCAAAGCCCACTTCGTCGGAAATTCCGCCGCTCTGTGGTCCTCATGCCCACAATTCCAGCAGACCAGCCCGTATCTACCCGGCGTGGGCTTATAGAACCCATGCCTGTTTGACCATGCCTTTCTATTGGGGTCTTCTTCCCACACCTCAGGCTGATCTACTTCCAGCTTGACCCTCCGATTCCACGCGGGGGGTCTTCCGCCTTCCCCCCTTCTTCCGACCTCTTGACTTAGTATCTGTTTCCTTCCACACCTTTTCACCTTTTCCCATATGCCTTGGCTCTCCTTGGCCAGCTCTACTGCTGCCGATAGTCTCAGCCCTCCCTCTTTCAGCACGTCGTGACGAACACGCTCGTCACTTAGCGCCTCCACATACAGGTCTGCTAACTGGGCCTGCATGACCGCATTGTCTCTCACCACTTGTGGGAAGGCCGATGATGACAGCTTCCCCGCTCGGGCCCCCAATTCTCCAGGGGTTTCGTCCCGAAGCTGTGTCAGGTTTAGGAGGGCCCTCATGGCCTCTATAGCCGTGCCCTCGTCGGCGAACTCCTTGGTCAATAGTCCCTTTAATCTTTCCCAAGACAAGTGGGGTTCACTCTCCAAGAGCCCCTTCATAAATTCAGACGCTTTCCCCTTCGTGGCATCATATGCCAGATACAGGGTCTCCTGGTCTGTGAGTTCATATATAACTCGGCTCTTCTCCAGGATTGCCAGCCAGTTTTTGAAATCTCTCCCACTGCCGTCAAATGCTGGGACCCTCGGTCCACCCAACAACCTTCTTAGGTCAGCTGACAATCCCTCTTCATCCCCCACTACTCTATCTGAATCATAGTCCGACATATTTAAGGAGAAAGACAATCTACGCAGCAACAATCGAGGTTGGGAAATCAAACAAAGTGTCCTACCTTACAGATGATTCTGCTCTCGTTCCTCTCAGGTCCCGGGTCGTTTTGAGTCCTATTCGAAATTTCTCAGCAACAGCGGTCGGTCCAGGATCCTGTCCTGCTGTCACGGTACCAATTGTGGCAGTGGCTGTTCCAGGGTCCAATCCTATGGTCACGGCACCAGTTGTGACGTCGTCCCCTGGTCGCAGCGCCAACTGTGACGTCCTCGCCGCGGCGCCAGCTGTTCGCTCCTCGCTGCTCCGTTCGGGTGTCGCCGCTCCAAACGTGACGTCCGCCTGTCGCGTCAGTCGTGTTGTCTCGTCCTGTGACGACCAACTGGCTTGGTATCGGTCGCGGCACCCAAATGTGACGTTCTAACCTTTTGGTGATTCGGGTGGGAATCTGGTTAGATTTGATATCAGCCTCGTCGTTCCCAACTCGCTTCCAACACCTGGTTACCAAAGTAACTGCATTGATCTCCAGTCTGCCTACCCACGTTTTTGAATTGATCTTAGGCAGACGAGATCAATCAGTAGTTGGGGCCGTAATGCAAATCGGGTTCAACGGGGGTGACAACACAAAATATGCATAAAATAAAATAAAATGAAAACTCAAAAGTTCAAGGTATCAAAGAAAAAGATAACAAACTTTATGTCTAGTTGTTCGATACATAGGACTGCGTCTATTTCCGACCCGTTCTATGGATTGTGACACGTTGTTTTCCGTTAGGTGAGTTTTTAACGCTTCAAGTTGTTTGCTCTTTAAGAAATTGGTTTTTCGGTGTGTCTTCGGACGAAAGTCGAAAAAACTTATTTTGGTGGTCTGGATCTAAGTCGCTCTTCAAAAATAATTGTTCTTGGATTGAAGAGGAGTCCGAATGTGCGTGAATCTTTCAAGTCAGCTATCTGCGAGGCGAAAACGACTTCCACTGCGAGCTTCGAACTCTGCTGCAACTCCACTCTGCTGAACTGAACTCAACTGATTTCTGCTCGCTGCGGCTTCGTTATATGGACGCCGACCAAAACCGCGGTGGGTTTGTCGGCGTCGGGGGTTCCTCGATAATTCTAAATACATATCCACCTCTTTTTATTTCTGGTTAGGAATTTTCCACTTTTTCCATTTTTGGGAGCCTTTTTTACTCCCACCTTCTCACCATACTTCAGAGGGGCGTGAGCTGCCCTCCCCACTTCTTCGTAGCAGCTTCTCATACCTATCCTCTGCGTCACGTGATCACCACTCGACCAATGATGTCTTAGTCGGGCGTGGACGAATCCGCGGCTTTGTTTCAGGAATAAAAAATATCTTGCTTAACTAAAAAAAAAAATGATCCTTTCTTTTCCTTTTCTTCCTTTTATTCGCAGTTATCATTTTCTCTAGCCGCAAACAGGCCAATATGAACGACGGTGGTCATAACTCTTGTTCTACACCTGGGTTTCGTCAGTCATCTTATCGCTAATTATCGGAATGGGTGGCTTTTTAACACGGCCAGACGTCGCCCCCAAAAGAACATTTCTAAGTTCCCATTCATTTCCTTTCGGTACATATTTCTGATAACATAATTTTATTATCGCAGGCCAAAGATGTTCCGTCGAAAGAAATCGGTCAGTGGACACATCGTGTGCGGCTTTTGACACAAATATTTCATATCTATCCAAAGCCCTTTAGTCCACCTGTTTTCCGTCACTTATCGAAATAACATTTTCATTTGGATTTTTCTTTGGCCAGCAGTTTGTTTACGCATCCCAGATAACACAGCCGTCGCCAAAACACACTCGATTCCTTTATCCACTCAGAATTTCCCTGTCATTGTAATGACACTCTTTCGCCATTTGTTACTTATCAAAATATCCTTTAACCATTGTCTCTTAGCCGTGGTGTTCTGCTTATCATCCACGTTTTGGGTCTCGCCTCTTGTTTTGCCTTCTTTTCATTTTTTTTCTTTTTCTGCCTCGGTAAATGGTGCCACAGTTGTGATTAAAGGGGATTAAGATTATTCCCTAGGTAATAATTAAAGAAAATGAATCTGTTTTCCTGGGTAATGATTAGAGAGAGTGAATCTAATTTTTTTATGTAATCCTTAGAGAGAATGAATCTATTTCCTTATATAATGATTAGAGAGAGAGAGAGAGAGAGAGAGAGAGAGTGAGAGAGAGATAGATAGAGAGAGAGAGAGAATCTAATTCCTTGTGTAATGCTTTAATGATTGAATCGGCCCAGCATTTCTTTGTATTTCGTAAAACATGAAATGTTACAGTTTAACGCCGAATGTTCTTAAATTAACGTGTTTTGAACGTGTGTACAGCCAATACTCCCTGAAGCTATGGACGCTAATTGTCAACAAAGTAAAGTACTTCTATCATGGCTTCATATTTACAAGCTGTCATAGATTGGGCCTGCTGATCGACCAAAACATAATCGGTGATCACTACATTGCAATAGTTTGTGACTATTTCCACCCATTCATGAACTCCATCTACTACAATAACGATAGTTTATTCCAACAGGATAAATTCTCAGTGTCACTCAGCCAAAGTTGCACACAGTTAGTATTAGGTGCTTTCTGACGAGCATTTATGAGACTTACTGGAGATGTTTTTGTGTTTTTTTTTATACGCAAGATCCTGCACTTGCAATATCAAGGTACTGTTGATAACTGTTATCCTGCCATGGTGCAACATTTCTTTGCAGTTTCTCTGACTACTTCTGGAATCCATGCCGTGTCACTATGTTAAAAGAGGGTCCCATATGATACTTGACAACTATCTCGGGACATTTCCTTGACACTGAAACGTCATGAATGGGAGATAAAATGATAGTGAATGTATTTAGAGAATTTCAGATGTTTATAGTTTGTGTTTATTTTACAGTGAGGTTCATCTTGTACAAGTCTCAAAAGCCACTCGAAGTAGAGGGTTGCAGAGTAAGGGACACATTATATCAGATATGTGGGTAAGATAACTGTTAAACCTGGACTTGAAAAGTTAAGCTTGTAGTGATCGAAAAAATAGCCTCTTCAGAGCCGGTTCCACAGAGCAGTGGTTCGCGAGAAGAAGCTGCTCGAGTAGAACTTCCTTCTCACCATTGGAATACAAAGGGAAGGAGGGTAGTTCGCTACAAAGAGCGCAGCACCGTTGTTCTGAGACGTGAAGGTTGCAACTGGTGGAACTAAGGAATGTAGTTCGCCTGAGCATTTTTTTTAAGTAGCGGTAGAACAGCGAAAAGCTTGCGACATCTCTTCTATGGGAAAGGGGTTTGCTGGGTGGAAAATAATTTGTCACCCACAAGAACAAGGATACGCTTTTTGACTATCGAGACTGGAAAGTAAAAACTGTGATGCTGCCAACTAAATAGACAGCAGAATACCATTTGGGGCCTGATCTATCTCTTGCAAATTTAGAGGGCAGCACTATGAGTCAGGTGATTACTGGAGCGGTACAGGGAACTTACTATTTTTTCCTGCGTCTTTAGCGATAAGTCGTATGTGCGATTTCCACTTCAGGTCCGAGATGAGTTTGAGGCCAAATAGTCGCTGAAGGCATGGGGCCTTCCCGAGGGAAAATCCATTTATTCCGACAGATCGTAGTTCAGGGTCCGATCGGTGATGACGGAATGTCACTAGTTTCGTTTTCGAGACACTTGATTTCCTCAGCCAGTTTTTTAGTGTTATAGTGGAACACACCTATTCTATAGTTAATAGACTCTCCCACCTATAATAAGTAGGAGTAGTAGAAGTCGCTAGGGCTAAGTGAGTTGTTCATTCTGTCGATGCCGGACGACTGTTAGTCGGATACTAAAAGTATCAGCGACCACGACTAGATTTCTCTGCGTCATACCTATTATATGAAGTTCCTAACGTGTTGTACGTCGAACCTATTTTAGGACCGACTTAGTACAAATACAAGCCTCCACTGTGAAACCACTCTACAACACTTGGCGACGAGGTATTCGGATTCATACGGAGGAAGAAAAACATTCGTACTCCATAATATTTAGTTAGAGATTTAGAAAAAAGGAGAGATCTGCTACCAATCTCTGGTCATCTAGTGTTCCCATATACAGTTGTATCATCAGCATAGATATTCACAAACAGATCATATATGTAAAGTAAGGAGTAAAAACTACACCGTTGAATTGTGATCGATATTGAAGCAGTAGTTACAGTGAGCTATGGCTGCAGCACATTCAAAGTGGGGAATCAGTGTTGGGTGTTTGGATTTTGCTATATTTTTTTTTTTTTGTGAGGGCAGTATAAAACTCTCCATTCCAGAAAAGATCCACTCTGAGACGACTGCAGCAGTCTTGGAGGCGGCGTTTTTGAAGAATGTTGAGGGAGCAGCTTCAACTTTAAATCTCTCCCAGTCTGCCTTCGTGTACCGAAAAAGTTCTATGAGAAGGCAAGTCAGGGGATGCTTTTGTTTTGGTATCAATTTGAACACTGACTAGGGAATGGCTCGATGTGCTCAGAGAATGAAGCATTTTTCAGAGCATGGTGTGTGGATGAGGTCAAGGAATTTCGCCTGAATGAGGTCGCGTCACGAACGTGTGTGTGTGGGGGGGGTTCTTCAGTTATCTTAGTTCATAGGCGATAGAGAAGTCCTTACAACGTCTCCTTTCTTCATCGGTTTTGTTCTGGTGCACTAACCGCTCTTCGTAGTGAATATTGAAGTCACCATAGATATGAAAGGTATCTGGGGGAATTTCAGTGAGTATATTATCAATCCCCTCAGATATTTGGTCGAAAATTAATGTCCCTTCGTCCTGAGGACTGGAGAGACCGAAAATGACTGTGGTATTATGAATAAATGCCACGCGGACGCATATGTGAAGTTATTTTTGCCGCTCTACAACAAGGAAGTTTGTCCTTAATGTATGCACCAACTTCGTGGTCGTGGCGATTTAGGTGGTTGTGTTTGGCTATTAGGGGTGAGTATCTCGGAATTACAAGTTCCTGCAGTGGGATTGAGTTATTAATACTTGTTTCATATAGACAAATAAAGTCGGGTATGTCCTCAAGAAGATAAAGTTCCATCTCTGGAAAGCTGGAATGTAGACTCCATCACATTGGTTTAGGAGATGGTATACCTGGAGTCTAACTTTTTGAAGTTGAGTTTGCTAATTTTATTCATCATAATATTGCTCATGTGTGTATAGTATATTGTTTAGTGGAAGACTAGGTAGGGAGAAAGACACACTCACATAATATACATGCATAAATAACTTGGATTGAATTTTTCGTAGTTACAGATACACCATATCATTGAGAAGCTACACCCGAGACGACTTCAGGGTTCAGGATTTCATTCACAAAATGGCAGTACAATACACCCTATATTATACATCTACTGATAGGATAGCCTCCTTCGAAGTTACTCAAAGGTTCAGATCCCTGACTATCTGACGGATAACACCCAAACACATAAAACGTCTACCTCGAGGACCCTTACTGAAGCGACATATAATCCAGAAAAAACGTTACATACATGATACCCTGAATGTACATATCTCGTCTACCCATAAATCAACCCAAGAGAAGTCCTCCTTGAGTCAGAAACATCGTACCGGCCAAAGATCTAAGATACTAAAACAAGCTCGCTCATATATATAAGCGGGTAACGAAGCTTGCTTGGGGTTCGTATGCACCCCTTATCACACTTTGGTTTAATATATAAGTAAAATTACTTGGGTGGTGACAGGCATTGGCAAATTATCTATTTGCTACAACCAGACAAATTTACAGGCTTTTCAATTTGTACATGAACTTAGCAATTTGACCTGAACCATTAATTTTGTGTTATATATTTTTACTGCATGGCCACCCCTATTTGGATTTATATTTTCGCCAACCCTTAACGCCAGTCTAAAACACCAAGAAAACTTGTCTAGCTCTGGCGCTGAAAATAGAAAGGTTAAATTTTGAAGACAGCCATATGAGTTAAGATATATCTATACATGCATGTAACTTACAAACTTTGTCATTTTATTCTTATTTATTTTTATTTGAAACTCTGAGTTTTATTTTTCATCCATATTTGTTTGTATTTTTGTACACGTATTAATTAAAGCCACTTTTCATCAGAGAAACTCTCCTTTTTTATAATTCTATATCTCCTTAGAACGTAGGTGATCATGCCTCTCTACATATTCCTTGTTTATTATCTCTGAATTGTCAAGCATTCTATGTTTTAGCATTCAGTCTTCCCTCTCTTATACATGTCACCAGACAAAACTAGAGATGCCAGTCTCATCTGATTTTTAACACATAGATTAGAGGAGGAGAAGAGATGGATTCAAAGGCTTTAATTAGGGCATCTGTGCAAAAATGAACAGAAATGTGAACCCAGCTCACCGATTCCAATTTCCGGTGTTATTTATTTGGTCGAGTTAGCTCGGGCATTGATGTGTCTATTACGTCAACCATCACGGTCCTGCATCAGTCGGAAGTCATACGGGTGGTATTCTGTGTTATAACACAGCTAGTCAATGTAAGTGATTACTAGGTGACCAACTCGTCTTGATCCATGCCTAGGTGGCCAGAGCATTAGAACAATCGTAAACATGTGTTTTTTGTCGCCAGAAATATTCTACAAAGCGCAATCTTAAGATTGTAGAAGAATCAGTGATGGCTCCTTAGAGCTGTGATTCAGTTGGATGTTGTCTCTAAAAAATATTAATTATAACTCTTATTGTCCGAGTGTAGGTACCACCAAGCTTACAGTGTAGGGTTACAGTTAATGTCCAAGCAGTGGCACCATACGTCTACCTCGACCCCCCTTACTGAAGGGACACATAACCCTGCCCCTACAGTGGCTTGAAAGTATCTTTCTTTGAGGATTTCTAGCAGATTACATTTTATTCAAGGCGGCCCGGGCATTATTAATGCGAATTTTCGCATCCTTTTCACTTCCTAGGTTTAAAAAAAAATAATAATTCTATAGATTTCGTTGATTTACATGAGTTTATATTCAGCCTCGCTGGTTAATGTTGAAACTTGACTAATACATGGAATAATAATACAACACAAAATGTACTTAGAACAAAATGTATTGAAACAAGAAAGTGTACACAATATTTACAGATAGTCTTTTGTGTATTCTTGGGAAGACCGTTCCTGGAGAATGTATTGACTTAGTCGCAGTCGGGCAGAGTCTCTGGATTGAATCTCTTGATTCCTCCCCTCGTCTTCCCGGTACCAAC